TTGCTGGGACCTTCTTTGGTCCTTGCACGGCCTGGCTGCCTGGGCAAACAAGGTGACCCAGGCGGCTCGGCTGGTAGCCTAGCTAATTGGGCATTTTAACAGTCCTCCATTTTACCAATTCACTCAGGGCATACTCACACTAGGCCCTCAAATTCGCAAATGGCAAAATGAGTGGCCAGATTGAGTTCTCGTAAACGAAGGACTYGATCTGGCCGCTCATTTTGCGATTTTGTGATTTAGAGGGCCTAGTGTGAGTATACTCTCATTTTATCCTTTTACCATTTTAGATACTTTACCAATTTCATATTTACCAATTTACCCCATCCATTCTGACGAGATCGATCCACATAGTGGCACATACCTCTCATTGAAAAAATTTCCATCCTCTGCAAGCATTGGGGCGATTCTTTGATCGAGCCTCTCCATTAGCAGTAACAGCTTTTGCATCTCCTCCAGCACCACACTGTCATTCAAGTCCATAGCCGCCGGCAGCTACACAAACAAACGTCAACCGCAGCCGGGGAGAAAGAACACACATGTAAGCAACTTTTACACTTCTCATCACAGAACAGATGCTACACTTGATCTTAGCCAAAAGGCCGCGAAAAGGTATTGGAGAGAGGCCCTCCTAGAGGGGTCGACATTAGACTTTTCATCCGCCGACCTCCTCACACATCTCATGCATCACTGACCTTGGCTTCCCGGCCCACTGACTTGCGCTGCGTTGCTAGGCGAAGTTGATTGAACGCATCTCCCAATCTCTCTTTCTGCCTCATCAATTCCATGAGCTTTTGTCGATGACTATGACCCCGCTCCAGTGCTTCCACCTGCAGGCAGAACACAAGGTAACAACAGAAGCAGACCCATTGGTGTGGACTGTTTTTTTTTTTTTTTTTTTTTAAACAACCCCTTGTAGGCATTAAAATGCAGATTTCAAAGGTTTGCATGTGCACATAATGTACCTCTCTTTTGACTTTTTCCCCCGACGACTGGATTCTGTGCTGCCGCTGATCGAGCTAAACAGGCAGTAGCTAAAATGGTTCTTCTCTAGAACTCAAGTGGTAAACCCTTTTAAAAACAAAAATAGGGGTAACTTCAGTAGAGTCACAAAAACGAGTTATAATTGCACTAAAAAAAAAAAAAAAAAAAAAAAGAGTTATAACTTATAATTGCACTATGGGGCAAGATACAGTTTGCAATTGCACTTCGGGCATCCTTCTTTTTTCTTTTTCTGTTTTTTCTCCTTTAAAATATTTTCTTATCTTTTCTTGTTTTTCTTTTTCAGAACTCTCCAAAGATCGGATCCGATACGTTTGCAGATGAGTTTCTACCATACTTCCAACCGCACAAGTCCAGCATAAGAGCATACTCACACTAGGCCTTCAAACTTGCGAAACCACAAAACGAGCGGCCAGATCAAGTCCTTGTAAAGGAAGGACTAGATCTGGCCGGTCACTTTGGGATTTTGCGATTTTGAGGGCCTAGTGTGCGTATGCCCTTATTATTGGCAACTTTGCACCATACTTTTTCTTGTTTTCACTTCTTTTTCTGCAAGGAACCTGCCTGTGCGCCTCACTAGCAACTCTTTCTTTCTTTCTTTTCTCCTTTTTTTGATGTTTTCATAGGTGCAAGAAGGGTGCACTGCCTAAGGAAGAGATCCTGTTGAGCATCAGAAATAACCTAGGCTCAGAAATAGCCTCAAATAGGTCTCTGGGACATCAGTCTTGACCATTAAGTGGCGACATTACCCTCCCAGCTTTTTTTTCTTTTTTTTATCCATGCTCTTGCGCCTACGTGCCGCATGGATCCCGTGTGCTCATGCACCGTACGTGTGCAATTGCCCGCACGGCATGCACCTGAATGTATGGTTTGCACTGTTCCTATTATCACATATATTAGTATGTATGTCTAGTGGCACTTCGATATGTGGCCTCCTTAGGTCAGCGAGAGCGAGACTGTCACTACTACCCTCTTCCCCCGAACAGAACGCACGTACTTTTTAGCTGTACTTGGGGCAACTTTCAGTCTAGATACAGCGACAACGACCGAACGGAAGACGGTAATGATCAGTGGGACTGATCGATCTCTGAGGAGGGTCTTCTCGGGTACTTATCATGCGTAGAAGCGTGGCCTGTGAACAAACAACATGCATCAAAACTTACAGGGGAAAAAAAAAAAAAACACCAGGGCAAGCCGATTGCACCCCACCACATCGACCGATCGAAACGAAGGCCAACTAGCCTGTATGAACCCAGATGCATGTTTGGTTGGACAGAAGCAAAGGTATGATGAACATTGAAGGACATCCATGCAGAACATTTAACCACGCGTTTATCTGATTCCTCATCACAGTATATATATGTGTCTACCTTTTCTAAGAGGGGTGAAGTGTTGATCGAAGCATTTCATTTCACAAGAGGCGGTACATTCTATAAGGGACACGGGGCCCCGTTCCCAGCACGTGCACCGCCCCGCGAATAGATTGGACCAGTTTTTAAACTTTTTATTTATTTATTTATTTATTTATTTTATTATTATTTTTTTAAAGCTATGTTCTTCTCTCGATTTCACCTCACACTACCGACCTACCACTACTCCTAATTGTAGGCATACGGGGAACCCTGTAGCAGCCAGAACCGTGTTCACGAGAGAACATGCGGGGACTGCTCCCGACCTGCAGGTGGGCGATACCGGCTAGGGGACAGCCAGTAGCATCAAGGACCATGCCAACAGGACCAATCCCTGTGCCTCCCCTCAGGTCCCCTCCCCTACGAACATCAGCAGACTCTGCTCAATGCCGATCGGGGGATCCAATGGTCTATCTCTAGGTGGCGGGCGCCAAGTATGCCCAGGAAGGTACATGAGGCCAATAGGGATTGAATCCACGACCTCCTGAATGCCACTTGCGTGCCTTACCAACTGAGTTAGGCCGCTGGATTTATTATTATTACTATTATTATTATTATTATTATTATTATTATTATTATTATTATTATTATTATTTTGGGGAAACTATGCGGGAGTCGCAAAAAATGAGTTATAACTGCACTATGGGCCAAGATACAGTTTTGAATTGCAGTTCGGGCAATGTGTATACAACCCAGCTTTCAAAAGTTGAAGAAACAGATAAGCAACAAATAGGAAAAAGAAATTACAAAAGAAAAACTTAAAAAGAGAACACACACACACACACACACACAACAAAAAAAAAAAGAAAAAAAAAAAGGAACAACGAACCAACTTCTCCATGGCTCGCATACCTCCTGCTCAATCTCCCGGCAAATCAGTGCAGTCCTCCAACGTAGATGGAGCTTCGATTGGCTGACGTCAGTGTAAATATGGTCCCCAACATAGAGGGTCTCATCACCACTGAACCCCAATGCCTTTTCCACCATTTGCGCACTACCACCACAGTAAAGTCCTCCTGCAAGGTAAAAACCATAGTACCCAGTATATGAAGTTGTGAAGATGAACAATACAGAAGGTGGAACAATCATGGCAATGAGCAGTGAGTCATCACACAAGTTCATGCAATCAGACTCTACTTATTCACACTTTTCATGCACGTGAACAGCAGAACAACAAACTGGCGACATGCGCCCACACAGAACTCAGAGATATGGCTTCCAAGTAACAGT